GAGATGTCGTTTGACTATAATATTACGAATTCTTTAAATAGAATTCATAATATAGTCACTATTTTTATTTTATTTTTTTATAATGTCAGTGCGTGGCCATACATACAACGAAAAAATTTATTATGTGCAATGATGATTTGTGATGAATGAATGTGCAATGAGCAATAATTATGAATTCTTCAATCAATGTAAATAACTTAGAACAAAGTACCAGTTTCCATTAAACAAAGTGAATATATTTTAGGATGGAGTCCATTAATTTAATTTTCATTATTAGTTCAGGCTTAATTAACTACGTTTCCAACAGAAAAGTTTTCGTTAAATAGTAATTAGTAAATATTTCTCGGCTTTGCCTTTTCTTATAGTTAAAATGATAAATTTCTTTCAGAAAGATTTTTTTTGTTACAAATAGCCACAAGATTGATTACAAAAAGAAATTACTATGAGTAACTTCGATGGCTGATGGTTATTATTTATATTTTTTTTCAAGAAATAACAGACAAGGACCTACAAAAAATGTTGTACCTCTTATACTAAAATTCTACGTTCAGGTATTAATATGAATTTAAATATAAAAATCAATAGTTATTGTACGAGATTTGTTTATAAATATGAAATATACCATATTTACAATACAATATAATGATTATACTTCACGTTTAGAATGTTAGTAAGAGTAGTAATTAACTATATCCAGAATTGAAGGAAATCTCTGGGACTTGAGAAAATATATAAGTTAATAATACGAATTTCCGCTTGTGACGCATCAATAGATTGCCTAATAATTTCGTTAAACTGTGATTTTTCCCGTGTTTAAACTTTTAGTTCACTAAAGTAATAATTTTAAAATAATTAATCAAAAATATTTAAATTTATTACTAATAGAGACTATACATTTTATAATTTTGTTTGTTGAGACTTACTTTTTTCCAAACCCACAGTAATCTTGTTACGTTTGATGCTCGTTTCATAGCCAAAATGTCACATTCCTAATAACTTTGTTGCCACTTCTTCAATATTTATCTCCCAATAACAACATTATTTTTGTTGTTTGTGATTTCGCGAATGGTGAAAAACAAAATTGAGAAAATGGCAGTTATTTTAATTTAAGGGTATATTAATAGGTATTAACATGAAAATAAAACAAGATGTATACCGTTCGAGAGAAGAGTATTTTCATTTATCTACATCTTTTATTAAATAGATATTGTTCTTTGTCGGAAAACATTGCATCGAATGCATCGATCCTTATTTAATCCAGTACGAGGCAAACTTACATTGCATTTTCAGTACTGCGGTATATTTTTCATCACAATACACAGTATATTCAATGTTTATATACTCGTTTATTTACGACTTAACAAAAACTTCGCTTATTGCTTAATAATAGATGTACTTATATTAATTTATTTCATTATACACATCAGTTACCGACATAACACTGTTAATGCCAAAATCATCGAGAGCGGTCTGTTTGTTAATGATTAAATAAAACCTTCGGCTGTCCATTGCTTTATGAATACTAGGGTGTGCGAACGGCGTTCACAATTTATTGTTTTGCGAGCATACGACTATAGTATTCCAATATGGAATTTATAGCTTTAGTCTGGCCGGAGAAAAATATGGATTTATTGTCGGAGCTTTGCAACAAATCGTTATTGCTCCATCTGTTGTTACATGCCGATAAAATGATAATTCAGTTTTTATTAGCAGTAATTATTTATATCTATGACAGGATGAAATAGAAAGTTTTAATGGTTGGTTAGGTTTTGGGATTGAACTTGTTAAGTCTTCGTGAACGTGAATTCGATGATTCGTAGTATATTTGGTAATAATAAATGAATAAATTTTATTCTAACTACTAATTTAACTTGCATTTTTTATATTTACAATAGATAGAAAGAATACGAATAACTGGTCCATATACCATTACCCTAATAATTATTTTATTAATTTGGCACTTAAAGTCATCATCATCATTCAATGTCATCGCTTTTTTACTATTATTTCACATGAAAAATGCTTGTTTTTATTTCCACTTTAATTTAATTACCTTACTTACCTTACCATATTTCTTTTTGAATCTTCAGTACAGTACTGTTTTAGAGTAAAATTTAAAATTATTTATTTTTATATTTATTCCCATTTAATTTATTTAATAAATACTTTTACCCTTAGTATATTCAAACATTAGGAATATGTAAATGACAATTGATTCGAAAGCTAAATATGTATATTTACATTACCGCACGCGCTTATAAAAAAGTATAAAGCAGTACGTTCGATTGCTGTTCGAACCAGTCTGGTTATACCTTCCAGAATAAAAAAATAAAGGTCTTCAAACTGAAGTGAAAACATTGTATATAAACGGTTTCGTTTACAACTTGTCAACGGAAATAACTCCTTAAACGAGACTAATTTGCAATAAACACACAAGATACTTCGTAAAAACACGAAATGAGATTTATATCAGTGCATTCGATGGCTTCCTTAAGTTACAAATTAACAAGTTTTTCCTTGTATTTAGTTTTGACGAATTGTAATTGTCAATTTATTACAATACACTAGTAGCGTATTCATAGCTAGTCTAGAGCTCGTGGTTATAGAGTATAAAAGGCAACTTTGTTGCGCAGACTAGTTGTGGCAGCTATAAAACAAACGGAGACGTCTTAACAAAACTAAGTGAGAATATTTACAAGCTGTGGTGGCAGTACTGGTTTTGTAACAACATGAAAATCTGTCTATTGTCCTAACAAAAATCTAGTCACGAATTGTATTCATCTAATTTCTTTGTGACAAGAAGTAGGAATGAATTTATTCAATGAACAATACTATTCACACTATAAATAAATAATCCTTTAGTTATCTTGTAGCGCCTTAATGGCTTAAGCAATCACTTTGGTATTCACGTAATGTATAGGTTGGAGAAGGATACAGGCTACTTTTTATCTAGATCAGTATACATATCCCGGTCACGCGGACGAACTCGCGGGTTAAAAACTGGTAATAGTAAAAGCCATTACAATATACCTTCTAAAATCAATTTCGAATAGCCACAAAACCATAGATCTTCGTCCTTTATTTAGGTAGTTATCGGTTTATTATTGAAAATGAATAATTATAGAGACGTAGCACAAAGTATCTTAATTTGAGGATCTAATCTAGGGTAGCGTGATTATGAATGATGGGTGGTTCTTAATAAATAAGTAGAATTCATTCTAATAAATGAAATTGTAACTTTGCCAACATTGTTTAATAATAGAGGTTCATCATTTAAGAATACAAAAGAAGCATGAAAGGTGATGATGAAGTTAGCTCAGTTAATCTGTCATAATGTTAGTACCGGAGATCTAACAGCCCTATTGCTAGCAATATACCCTACTTGGTCGACCTACACGCGGTTCATTAATTCTTTATGAATTCGTCAACATGAGCCAACTGATCAGCTTTATCCTCACCTGTTTTCTCTCACTAGTACCTCGCTAGCGTATACCGATAGCGCAAGCCAGGATATCACTCCATTATCACTCATTAAAAAACCTATCATGATGCATTCTCCAAGAATTAACCTCAATGTCTATTAAGAAAACCATCTGGAAGTCGATCTAATTGATGGTAGTTTTTATTAGAATTATTAGGTATATTACTGAGAAGATCAATATGGATACCTTTTACACATCAACGTAAATAGTACTCCTTGTCCTATAAAAAAATCGAACCACAAACACATTTGTATTTCAAATATAACATAAGTATGTGAACATAGTTTTGTATTACTTACCTTACAATTTGAATGACCATTAAAATAAAAATGTAAAATGAAGAAACGCTAAATAATATTAATTTTTACGTGCACCTTAAACCTGTTGTGCTTATCTATTAAGAAATAACCACCTGTTACGCCACTGTATTAGAATACTTAAAGGGATTTAAAGTATTTAAGTTGAATAGTATTAAAAGTCGTAGTGTTGACAGTAAGTATACACTCGCATTGCAGGCAGCGTACAAAAAGGAAAGGAATCTGAAGTCACTGATATTAGTAAACTAGCATTTTGCCCACAACTTCAACCGCGTGGATTTCAAGCGTAAAATAATCAATGATATAGAAAACTTTTAGATTGCGTATCAAGATAAAACTTAAACCAGTTTTTTTTTAAGTTAAGCTTTTAAAAATACAACTGTAATCCGTATCCAATTTGGTGCAGTAATTTTTACGTGATAGTAAAACAAATACAGACTGAGAGGAAATACATTTAAAAAAATTGTTTTAGTTTGTAATGCTCTTATTTACCTAACATTATTTTTTCTTAAATATCCCCTATTTACATATATGCTTTATACATCGTCTAGTTTTAATTTTCTTTTTTATATGATTTCGCATCATACATATAATTTGTAAAATATCATCTTTCTCATTTCTAAACCGATTCTGATAATTTCGGTAGTAACGGATCATACCAAATACACAAATATTTTTTATACCGTTGGTTTCGTAATAATTATACTCGTGATTGCAATCACTCTATTGTTTGTAGTAATATAATGTCTCACTTTATTAGTTCAAGTACTGTAAGATAAGGTATTAACCACAATAAATAATAATAATGCAATACGAGTATGACATTTTGTGAAGAAGGAAGGAAGAAAAAAAATTTAAAGCTGTAATTATTGTACTGAGATGACATAGTTTGAGATACCTATCAAAGAGTTTTTAATCACTACGTATACCTATACACATTAATAGGATAAAAATATGCAAAAGCATTGTAGTTCATATTAACAGCAGTACATAATTAGAATGGGCATAAGGCGCCGTTTAGATCCAAAATAAAAGAGTTTTTATTTATCCATTATAATTGATTTAATTATTATAATTTATACAATGCTATTTTTAATTATTAAAAAAAAGTTTATTGAGCTATTTTTTATGGTCAAATCATTTATCGTTCTAGTAAAATAAATGTTTCATTAAATAATTGAAATAAAATTCATTTTTTCAGGTGTGGTATTCGATCAGAATACAGATGAAATCCAGAATGCATTCAAATTCGCGATGGTGCAGCATTCAAATCCAAATCGAACTCGACTGGATTTTCAGTTGTACGTGGATATCATTAACACGGCCGATGCATTCAAGTTATCCAGACTCAGTAAGTTTAAACATATATTATTTTTACAAATTTTTATTTAACTTGCAATTAATGATGTGCTAAGTTAAACTGATTTGAATATATTTTAATGTAATAACTACCGGTTTAACTTATGTGTAATTTGATTGAGAAAGATCGACTAGTTTCGTGACCATTCGGGACCCTTAACTCGAAACTAGTAATTACCAGAGGGAGACTTTGTACAAAAGTCGATTGCTTGGGTACCTCTGTCCCATTCGTGTTTCAACCGTAAAGCAGCTGTGTTTGCATGGCTGTGTTTTGGTTTAAAGGGTTGGATATGGCGTGAATTTATTGGGTACAGAGGAATAACACCTGAGTCCTCAGGAATGGCAACGCAGGGGGGGTATCATGGGCGAAACAATATACTCTGTTATGTCCATGGTACTGCTCATGTCTATAGGCGACGGTTACCACTTTCCATCAGGTGGGCCGTCAGCTTGTTAGCCATTCTACGTTGTATAAAAAAAACTTTCTTGACCAAATTACACGTATGTTACACCAGTAGTCATTACATTAAAATATAATATAATTTGAGGATAGACGCAAATACCCACTACACACTCAGATACTTTACATAGTATATAATACAGATGTACAGAATTCAAATATTCGTATATTTGTCGTGATTTTATCGTATGTTATGTTTATGTAATTTTTTCTTTATTATTAAAAGAAATATTGTTAAATAACTAACCATTTATTATCCTCATTAGAAGTAAGCTTTAGAAGTTAATGCTCCTTTTCACTCAAGGTTTGCTGGAACAGGACTCTTACAGAGTTAAGCTAGCTTGTTGTGGAACTTCATTTAATATAAATTGCAACAATATAATTTTTGTGTAAAATAAGGTATAAATAAATAAATTATTCCTGCATTTTGGCGAGGTATACCATATTTAATTTTTGTAGTATTTAGTTATTTTTATACCTAAACAATACTTGAAGATAACCGGATTTTTAATATCACTAGTGTCCCTATAAAATATATTTGCTGAATACACCTCCTCAATATTACAGTTCAGGATCTGAATGCTTTTTGTTCATTCAAACATTCGATCTATAAAGAGCTACATCAAAATTTTTTACGTTTCTTTAATAATGATTTCGTTGTAAAAAAATGAATGCTTACACTTATATAATAAATATTGCAAACTAAAAACAGCGTGATTATAAATTTTATTCAAGTTTATTTTCAAATAATCTAAATCCTTTTAATAAATATTAAATATAAATATAAGAACGATATCATTTTTGAAACAAACAAAGGAAATACGAGAATAATATTTAAAAAATAGAGAAATGACACGCGATCCGGGCAACACCACGGATTAAATTTTATTTTTCAGCTTATTTTTGTAGTATTCGTATAAATGGATTCAGGACGAGACGAATGGTCTGACGATGTACTATAAATGTGTCAGCTTTCCGTCTTGAAGATTAGTTTGCAAATCCTGTTCATGTACTTACTATAAATGCGTCAATGTTATTGTATGCAAAGAAATTGTTTTATTTTATGGTATGACTAAAAAATTTTTTATCATTATTATCAATAGTAATTAAAAAAGTTGGGTATAATCGTAAGGTGATTGTTTATACTTATATCTACTAAAATTATAAATATCTGAAATAGTTTTACGTTGTTACATAGTGGCATTTTATGCTAAGTCATCAACTGTCCTTAATTAATTTGAAGCTTTCAAGAAAAGGCACAAATCTCGTCAATAGTTTTTGGAGTTATATACAAAAAGGTACAAAGGAACTCCCTTTGTATAATTCGAATTTGTCCGTCCATCTGTCACAGCGCTATATCTCAGAAAATACGAATGCTATCAATTTAAAATTTGGGGTAGTTTTACATATTACTGGCCCACATATATTGCAATAAAAGTAAATGAAAAAATAGTTTTATTTTCTTTGTCTCGTTTTGAGTACTCATTTTAGACCTCCTAGATATAAAATAAATATTTAAAGATTTCAAAAAATACTATCCCAAGTGGAGTATCTCTATGAAAGGGTTTCATTAGTACATTTTAAAAGTGATTTTTATTTATTTTTATGCTGCGTACTTTTTTATTTACGATCGATAATGTAAGAAATGAAATCCAAATGGCATTAACATGTAAGAATAAAAAAAGATAAAGTTATTATATTTATTTATTCTTTGTCGACCATATAATAAAAAATGTTTGGTATAAAAGTCAGACTTATTGCTATGTAACATTCTTTCCAGCCAACCTTTGTAAAAACAGAAATGTAATTATGCGGTAAAAATATTAAATTTTAATATGAGTTACAGACGTATATATTATATAATACATACATACATACATACATACATAGTACAAATTATATAATATATACAATGAAAATTACTGCACATTATGATTATATTAATATACTTACAAGAATAAATTATACAAATTATTATTATATTAGAATATTACAGGAAAAATAAAACAATGTTTTTAACTAGCACCATTTTTGATAAAATTAAAAAATAAACTTAGTCATCATCATCATTATACAGCCGTTAACTATCCACTGCAAAATTTTGCCAGCAGTTGTTACTCTTGGCAGGAGGGTTGGTAACCACAATTAGGCTTTGAGTCTTGTTTTAAGAGGGGCGTTGCTGCCCATTCGTCTATCATTAAGTTTCCCTAGTCACCTCTTACGACACCCACAGGAAAGGGAGAGGTGATCTATTCTATGCCAGGACCATAGAACGGTTACCAATCAAATTTACTTATGTGGTCTAGTTTTTAACCCAACATTTGGCCCAAAATAAAAATTACAAACCGATACTGCATATCAATAATTATTATTGATTATAAATATTTGTCAGATGTCTATTTCATATAATAAATGCAAAGATACTTTTATCTCATATTTTTGTACGGAATATTAGGAATGAGTTCAACTCGTGCCTGACCGGTTTTGCGATGCGATATGTTACGCGATTTCGTAATCAGTTCTGAACTGATTTTGATAATTATTTTGCAATCGATGGGGTCCTCTCCCTTGGAGACCGCATATAAATTTTGTGACAATTGGAGCTGTTTCCCTTTGCGTAGCAAAATTCTATTAATTGCGAAGCAAAATTTAAATTCAAATATTACCGTTATCGCGTACATCGGTATATTTTGTTGTTTATTCGTTTTGAAATAAGAATACTATTATTGCTAATATAACGTCGCTGTTTATTTACGAAGCTAAATCTATTTGTACTCATAACTATAATATCTAATATGAATGCCTATCTCAAAGCGAAAGGTAATAAGTAAACAACGTCGTGTCCAATAACTAAAGGACCGTATTGATTGTTGCCTAAGTATGCCGCAGACGTCCAACTATTGTGCCATTCAATGTAGTACGAGTATTAGAAAGAACGCAAATACCCATCTAAGTGCAATATTTCACACCCCGTTTTTGTGTATCTAACACAGCAACAGAATAGAAACATTGTATGAATCCCACTATTATTATAAACTTGATAGTTTATAAAGACGTTTGGATGTTTAATAATTGACTGTTTCAAGCATTGGACCTGTAATGGTAAAAATTATTTTGCGTCTATTAAATCGCGTTCGCGTAATAGGAATATGTTGATTAATCATGTTAAAAAATAATCGAAATTATTCTCAATTCCAAGTACTATGTGAACTATAAAAGAAAGTAACTATTTTTAGATAGCATACCATGGTGAAAGATACACCAAATTTTAAGTTAGACTCTTAGAAATACAACTGTGAATTAGAAATAAAACTTCATCCAATTTAGTATAGTACCTATTGCATGATACCAGATTAAACATACAGACAAACTAATAAAAAAATATTGTTTTGACCTGAAACTTTTTTGTAGTCATTATATAAATCTGTAATCTATAAAGTCTGGTCACATCTATATGTGTAATTATTTATTATATTGAATTTTGTTTCTATTCGAATGATTGTCTTGTCATGCATCTGTACGTACGAAGCATATTTTGTAATATAAAAAGTGTTTATTTCCACTATGACCCTCTACAATATTGCTCGTAGAAACATCCCCTATATTATTTTTTCTTAAGTATTTCTCATAAACAGGCACAGTATAATTTAAGTTACGTGATATGTTCACCAATTATAAACTAAATATGATAATTATTCTTGTATGAGATATGAGTTTACTCTGTTTTGATTCCATACTGATTTCAACCATTATTTTGAAAAAGGTCTTAATTATACCAGTCATATTTCAATGAAAATATGCTGAAATGGATAGTTATTAATGAGTTGCCGCGCTTGTCAAAGCTTATTTCCCACTCTAGGTAGTAAAAAGCTGGGGTCAAGAAATTAAGTTTCTACTTTGTGACATTCTACTTGGCGTCGTTCTCTCGTTAGAATTCAAAGAAGGTATTTTTTATTTTGCAACTTTATGTTTGATTTCCCAAGTTTGGTTTTTTACGAGTTTCAGAAAGCAAGTGCTGAACGAAATTACATCAGGTAAGGAAGGAAAGATTCTTACACTCCTCTGTGTCTATGAAGATAATAATAGAATATATACTACCATAATCCTAACTAATATTATTAATAAGAAAATAAGTTTGATTGTGACCTCATAACGCCTTAACGATACATGTATGTATGTATGTACTCATAAATTGTTTACATTACAAGTCTACAAAAATAACACCTCTTATTACAATCCTGTGGTAAGAATGTGTCGTCATTATAACGACTTACTGCTCGACCACAAATCCATCGACATATTCGATACAAAATATTTGATATTTAGGAAGAACTTGTTTTCTATTTTGTAGAATACGATTGAAAATATGTTTTTTTTATATAGTTTTATCTTTTATATATTTATATAACATTTTAATTATTTCTTTTTATATTATGTGTTTTCTTTTAATGTATTACTCAAGCTGTGCACATAATATAATTGGATTATTACCTAGCCGAATCACAAATGTAATTATTACTTAAGTTTCTTAT